GTTGTCAGTTCTTGTCTCCGTTCTTCCTTCTGTTATCGGTCGTCGTCTTCGGTCTTGTACTTTCGGTACTTGTTTCCTGATCCGTTAAGGTCTTCTCTTGTATCTATCGTTGACGTCATTCTGTGTCGATGTCCTGGTTTTGTCAGTCTTGTAGTCATTTATTCGTTCAGTGGAGTAGCGGGGGATCGAACTCACGACCCCTTGATTTGTAGGCAGACAGTGTTACCACTGCACCATAGCGCCCGCTCTGAATAATAACCATTTTTGAAAGTCCTTTATACATTAAATACTATTTCAATGGCTAACAAAGGGTGTATTACAATTATATTTTAACACCTCTATTATGTAGCCAACCCACGTGACTTTATAGATGGTCAAAGAAAATATTACTCGATTTATTACAAGTAATATTTTTATAGATAACTTTGCTGTAACTTTAAGATATCCTGGAAATTTATTCGAGGGTACCGGAATTCTAATGTATATCAAATCATGACTGAATTCCAAAATTTTCGAGAGCTGCCATGGTAAAGCAAGCACACGTAGCAATCTCCCGGTTTCAGACATTTTATGACTTGATGTAAATATGCTGTTGTTATTGTTGTTGTTGTTGTTGTTTTGCTTTAACTTTAAATTTCAAATTAAATCGCCACTTGCGATTTTTAAACAAGATGGTAAACATTTGTTGTTTTCTGTATTTTCGTTAAGAATGTGATAAAGTATACACTTCTAAGTTTAAGATGACTTTTTAATATTATCGATTATCCATCGTATACCTTAATGCAGGTATAAATGAATTATGCAGCAGAAAACAGCAAATACAAACAAAACAACACACAAAAAACTTAAATGCAGCATACATGTGTAATGTTCACAAATGCTGAAAACGGCTCTTTATTAATTTCAACATTGCAGCAAGTGACACATTTTATAAAAGAATGGGACAGAAATGTTGTTGTAACCATTTAAAAAGTAGAATTTGTAAATTTGTAAGTTGGATATTTTTTACCTAGTTTGCTCAACACTCAATTAATACATTTTTATATATAAACCTGAGGTACAGAAAATAGACAGAAAACAACTTTCATAGATTGAGATAGAGCCATAATGTCGTAGATATTTGGGTTACAAAAGGAGTTTTTGATCCTGATAATGTTTTAAGTAGGATAAACATAATACAAGCTTATATTCTTAAAAATTTGTACTGCCTTATTTCATTTTTTTTAAATACGTGCAATTATGTAATTATTATGTTTTTACATGTAGTTAGTTTCTGGAGAAAAGTTAAGTGATTGACTGATGTGTGAGAGGTCTATGGTTCGATTCCTACTGTTGCCTTTTTTAAAGACCTATTTTTTTGTGTATGGTTGCAGTATATATTTTAAAACACTTTTTGTCTCGGTTTGTGTTGTATTTATGGCATTGAAATGACATTTTTTGATATTTCAAAATAATATTTTAATATTAATTTCAAACCATAAATACCATAATAAGTGCAAAATATATGAAAACAAAATGAACAACTTAAAAAAATCATAGCTACATCTAATATTGAACATTACGGAACATCTGAAGTGACATTTTCCACACTTTCTCCCGGAATCGAATTCGTTTTTACGAGATAATAATTCCAAATTAGAAATAATATTTCGTGTTAACGAAATATAAAATTTAAATTACGAAACATTGATTCGTTTTTACGAAATATTATTCCGTTATTACGAAACACTAATTTGTTATTACGAAATATTTATTCTTTGGTAATACATATAAAGACGGATTTAAAACTAATTAAATATAAGTCAAGTTAACAAAACATAAATTTAAAGTGTTTTTTTTTCAATCAAAGCCATATACATTAACGCGCTTTAAAACAGTACTGTATATAACTGTTAATTGAGCCATTAGGCTTATAATCCTTATATTTTGTGGCCAGTCTCATTAAAATCTGGTCATATTGATTAATCATTTGATTTTGACAAGAATAATTAATTGCATCATATTGTATCATAGTTTTAATGACCTATTTTAGTATTTTTAAGCGGCCATTTTGAATTGACATTTTGAAGGTCAATGTCTTGGTATCCACCCTCATCGTTTTCAGCATACCTATATTAGGTTAAAACACTTAAGATATTACTTGTACTATTAAATGCCTCTAGCATTCTTATTTTCTTAAAATCAGTCCTGTCTAAATAGGAAGAAAATACGTTTTAAAAAAAAATATATACTCATAAAAAGTTTGTTGAAAGAGCTTCACACCAACGAACGTCTAACGTGTACTCCGAAGTATTCGTTATTTAACGACAATTTCGTTACAATTATTGGTATAACGAACGTTTTAGGTTAGAGGGTAAATTACTAACTAGAGCTTAATCAAGGCTTAACGATGATCGTAACTCTAACTCTGCTTCTGGTTAATCACCCAGGGGTTAGTATCTCGAAGCTATCGTTATATTTGCGTTTACGAACGTGCTAACGATTGAAGGAAGGTTGGTTAACGAGAGACTAGCGCGGGCATCTCGAAAGCAATAGTTAAGCAATCGTTCGTTCCTTACTCGTTAGTTATTAACGATTGAATTATGTAAACATTTGAATACCGCGAACAGTGTGTTAAAGCAGGAAGGAATGGTCGTAACAAAACGTAAATCAAGAAAAATTGCAAATGTTGAAAATTCCTATGAAACTGACGTGATTACTATTGAAAGGTAAAAACTTAAAATAGAAACTGCAAGACTAGTAACTGAGGGAAACCGACTGTAGACTGACGATTGTGCAGTAAAGGCTGCAAGTAGAAATCAGACATTTTAAACACTTTACTAAGTCAAAGCAATTATTATGGCCGAGCTTCTTCTCAATACCCTCCCTCATTTTTTTCAGGCTGCAGCAATTAACATGTTTCAGGGTGTAAGTATACTCTCAAGATTCAAACTTGAAAAATGTTGCTTTCATGGATGAAATATATAAACACATATAAACAGGACAATAAATTAAGATTCAAGATAGTCCATAACTCGGCTTAGTATACAATGTAAACGCTTAATCTCACCATAATTAATCTAGAATTCTTTTTTCTTATGTAAGTTAAAAATACGATCGTGATATACCATTGACAATGCTTATTTCTATGATAATGATGATGATACAGCGAGGATGGGTTAAGTTTTAAAGAAATATTAAGATGTTTTTCGTTTGAGTGAAATATAGAATATGTTCACGAAACATGATAAATTTCCATATATTTTCACGAGCTGGAAATCTTAATTTTACTCTTTAAAATTTCGAAGCTTTATAAATTCGTTATAAATATTCCTGACAAGTTATATGGCCGTATATAAACGGTTGTTTGCAATATAAACCTCGCCTGACGGCTCGGGTTATATTTAAAAACAACCGTTTATATCAGGTCACGCAACCTGTCTAATATTAAAAAATATTATTTTCAGTGGGTATTCACTAAGTTCACTTCAGTGTTGTTATATTTTTCTGGTCCTTCGGGATCATTGATGCCAGCACTATTAAGTGTTGAGAATAGAGTACCACTCAAGCCGGTGCTAGGGGGCGTGAGGGATGTTGCACGTATTCATTATCCCTCATGCACAGACTCAATCAAACCGAGTCAGCAGTTCTCTTGTAATTTTGTTGTGATTAATGCTTTTGAGGGATCACTTTGTTTCCAGATTTTTATATAATCTTCTGTTAATTTATGGATAAATTTTCATTTTGTCTTTAACAAAGGATTAAGAAAGGATTATGCATTACAAATTTAAATATAGCAAGTAAAAATATAACAGCTGGTGTTGGCAAGAGCAAAATATTTCAATCTGTTACGTTAAACAAACAAAATTTCCATATATTTCATGCTTATCTGTTGTACTGATTTTTGCAGCGTAACGTAATGCATGTTTCTTCATGTCATTAAATCATTACATCACAGGTAACTTTTCGAAATATAATTCTGTAAAAAGTACCGAGTTTTGTTAAATTTTTAACATTATGCACATGCAAATATTTATTTATATTGTCTTGTGCAAAATTACACATTTCAGAGATTATTCCTTTCGATGCTTCAGTTATTATATGATTTTTTTCATCTGCATTTAAATAAACATCTTCATGTAAACTAAAAGAGCTTTTACATATGTTTGATATGTGAGAAAAAGAAATAAAATATCATATTTATGTAGGTTCATCACTTTATCAATAAGGTGATATAATTCTCATTTTTTTGTGTATTTTAAATTCGAAGTATTCTTCCTTTTCTGTCAAAGTGATATTAACGAGAGCTATACGACACCTTCAACGCAACCGTTAATAATTGGGCATTTTAACGATTATTCGTTAAATACGAGAGTTTCGAGATACCAGTGAAAACGTTAACGAGAGGCTTACGACAGTCGTTATGCTAACGATAGCTTCGAGATACTGACCCCAGGTTGTTTTGAGCTCATAAACTAAAATAAATTCTTTCAAAATTTGAAAAATACTGCCATCTCATTGGACAAAAAATAATTTCAAACACTAAAACATTATGTTGCAGCCCAGTGTTATTACAGAGGGCGACTTACTACCGTGATCTGTTACGCTCATTATGTAACGTCGATATACAGTGACGTCATTGTGGTACACAACAGTGATTTTTACCGAGTGGTAATTTGTTGCGCTTAAGACTCAAGTTTACTACTGTTTTTTTTTTGTTTTTTTTTTCAATTTAAGATGACCATGAACCCGTTTTTTACATAAATTATACTGATACTGTAGCTGCATGACTGTGTATGAAGTTTAATTACCTTTTCCGCTCCAATTATTTCGCTACAATAAATATTTGAGATAAGCAACATTCTTTTTCAAATGTCCATTTTGAAAATATCATTTTATCAAAGATAAGTAACATATTACTGCGCTTAAAATAGTTCCGTATCTCATATATGTCTAAATTTAGTACAAATTGAAGAGGGCTGCTACTTAAAAACTGATAAATATTTCGTAATCTGTAACATATAGCTTAATGTATTGATAAAATAATACACGACTTCATGTATTATATTAGATTAGACGTTAGTGTAAGATTATGTGTGACACGGCCATCAACGGTGTAAATATAGACCTTGAAAAGCGATATGTATCTATAACAGACAATATTTAGCTTTTTGTATGTACACATGTAAATATTTACAAAACAATGATGTTATTTGATGTTGCCATTGGTTTGTTAATTTTATATTTCGTTTGGAAGATCATATTATTGTACTTGCGAACGCTGGAGATTAAACAAGTTTGTGATCGGTATGTATTCATAACCGGATGTGACACGGGATTTGGATACCTTCTGGCAAGATCCTTAGACGCAAAAGGAGTGAATGTAATTGCCGGGTGTTTAACAGAAAAAGGTTCACGCAACCTAAAGAAGGAAGCCTCTTCAAGAATAAAGACTGTTCAACTGGATGTGACTGATAAAAAGTCGGTGGAGAGAGCATTTGAACTTACCAAACAATATGTCGGTGACAAAGGTAAAGCACAAACTTTAATACAAAGGTTTATGGAAAGAATTTTTTCTTCACTGCCTATATCTTCAGAAATAAGTACAATGTAATGTTTATCACATTTTTTAGGTTTATTAAATAAATTAATGTTTTCTCGAACAAAGAAATAATTTCTCGATCAGAGAAAAAGTTGTTGTTTGTTTGCTTGCTTGCTTGCACTGCTACAAAGCTATTATTGTGGTGGCTGATTTGTGCCTTGTCGTATTTTTGCTTCGCAGAGCGTCAGACGGAAACACGATATTACGACAAACTGACCACTTTGTCGCACTTTCACTCTGTGGGGAGTCAAGCGAAAACACGAAAATACGACAAAGTAATCCGTATGTTCGTGTTTTCGCGTGGCGCCATGGCATAAATCAGCGATAATCCTTTTTTACAAATATTTTATTTTCAAGGTTTGTGGGGACTTGTAAACAATGCTGGTATAATGCTGAACTTCTGTCCGGCTGAATGGACGCCATTGAAAGACTATGAGACGGAGAGTAAAGTAAACTTGTTTGGAACAATCGACATGTCCTTGACCTTTCTACCACTGTTACGAATGTCACGTGGTCGGTTAGTCAATGTTTGCAGCGTCATAGCAAATTGGGGATACCCCGGGTTGTCTGGTTATGTGGTTTCTAAGTCTGGTGTTAAAATGTTCACAACGTGTTTAAGTTAAGTACAATAATAAATGTATTAAAAAAATACATCCAAATGAAAACCTCATATAAAAAGGAAAAGTCTATTTTCTGTAAATCCTTTTGAGTAATGTCAAATTACCTTTCTTCAAAGAATTTTTCGTTTCTAAATGATTGACATTTTCAGACAAGTTTTTGCAGTTGCAGTAAAATCATTGTCTTCTTTATTTTTTTTTATCTTTTTTTTTTTAATATTTCCGTTAGCCTCTTATCGCCATGAGTCGCATGCCGCCAGGGACCGATGTTATTTTCATTTGAGGAAGCTATCCAGCTAACTTACGAAAGGTCGGTAGTTCTACTCAGATACTCTTTCGTGCCCGAAATAATGCCCTCCACCAGTTTAACTGGAAATTCGCCTTATATCGGTGTGAATAAAAAAACCAAACCATTAAATTTGAAATCCTTATACAGTTCTGAAGTCAATTAAAAATCGATTAATAAATATGGAGCAGGAAAAAAGGCAACATGTTTTGAATACAAAAAGAATAATTATTCAAGGATAGATTCATTGAAGTTGTAAATACATAGCATTATGAAAAAACGGCATTTTTCTGGTCCTTTGGGATCATTGAGTCCAGCACTTTTAAGTGTTGAGAATTGTGTACCGCTAAAGCCGGTACTAGCGGGCATGAGGGATGTTGCACTTTTTCATTGACTCAATCAAACATTGTCTGCAATTTTTATGTAATTTTGCTGTTTTTAATGCTTCCGATGGACTACTTATTCCAGATATTTGTCAAGAAGTATCATAATATACAAAGTCAAGAGTAGATCTACGTTATAAGGACATTGTTATTTTCTTATGTTACAGAAGGGAGTTGTTAGGTTCCGGTGTCACTACACATACTATCGAGCCAGGAGGTTTCAACACGAATATTGCAAATGAAAGCAAGTTTCTCAAAATATTGAAAACAGCCTACGTTAGGTCGGATACAGAAAGACAAAACTTTTACGGTGGAAAGATTTCTTCATACAGTAAGTGACGTCGGGACACTTACTCTAGTTTTCTTTTACATTAAAACACTCAAGTTTTTTTTTAACAAATATAAGTACCATTACAGAAGTTTCATATCAACATAAAAGCTTTCAGCTTTCCCCATGTTGGTCGTTTTATAAGGGTTTCACTGAATTCCATGATTTGAAAATGATAAATTGGTACATGTATATGTAACTTTCGAAACAAAACTATACAGACTAGTCTTAAAGACAGAGAACGGTTTGTCCGGAATCTGGCTGTACGGGGTTCTAACTTGTCAATGGTTTGGAACTTAGTTGTGTGCGGAAAAGGGTTTTTACATGCACTAACTTAATAATTATGTTCTAACTTACTAATTGTCCTAACAAATGTTCTGTGTGAAAAGTATATGGCCTTTTCTAAATCACGTTCATGTAGTCAAACTGATATCTAGTTCTGGTGATATGTAGCGTTACAGAAAATGATTTTTTTATCAATTCCATTTCTATTTATCTAAAATCTTGTCATTTAACATGCTTATTTAAGGATTTTATTTATCATGTTTTCAGTTTTCTTTGTAATAAAATGGTATGGCGTCTTCATTAATACGAAGCCACAGAAAGTCGTTGACGTCATGGCGCATGCGCTGTTAGCAAAACATTCGAAGAATTCTTACGCCGTCGGACTGGATGCTACGCTGTTCTTTGGTTTTCTGTCCTGGTTCCCGGAATGGTTGGTGGACAGATTACTCGGGTGGCCAGCACCGGATGGACATTTATGCTCTGAATTGCAAAACATTGCGAATAAAAAGAACTGAATATAGCATATTGTGTGTAATTTGTGTATAACATTTCATGAAATCATTAATGTACAGTCACTTCAGGTCTGTTTAAGTAATACTTTCAAAGTTCAGGATGTGTAGAAAATTTTCTTCACTCGTTGTTATTACAAGAAAACAATTGTAAATCATATGCATGTATAGGAATTCGTAAAAATATTAAACATGGATTTTTACATTTTCTCACAACTACTTATTTTTGTAAAAATTCTAAGAAAACCAAATTACTATAAAATACAGTAACTATATATCAACATAGTTCAATAAATATCTAACTATTTTTTCCATTGAGAATAAGAAACACTTCACCTGTAATGCTGTAATATGGCATCTACGGTGCCCGTGTTACTTCGAGCTCAACCTGTGGCTGCTAGGCCGAGTGTTTACGCGTCGAACTAGTATAATAAGGATTGCTGCCACATGTCACGTGGTTTCAAACCCCACTAGGGGCAAACTGTTGCTTCACAGAGCAAGAAAATTTGCACAACTTTATTGCTCAGTACTGGTTGGTTCCAGGAACGGGTCCAATGTTGTATAGCTTGCTAAACAACTAAAAACAAACTGTAAAAACTAGAGAAACTGAGAACACATAACATGCTTTCACTTTTTTGTGATATTTTGTGTACTTATTTCATAATGCAGTACGTATTTCAAAAGAAAAGGAGCGAACGTAAATCTTTGTTAATCTATCACTGAATATAGTTTTTGTAAATGTATACGTCCTTTGATTTCAAAAGAAATGTACATGTACATACATGTAGTATAATTATCTTACAGAATTGAAACAATATGAGCTCGCTTGCTTATTGGGGACTTCTGCTCCACACCCACACCGTTGTACATTTTTTATAATAATTTCCAAAAATGATAGGAAGCGCCGTTTAGCCTAGTTTTCGAAAAAAAATATCGTGAAATAGACTCCTTCCTAAACAAAAGAGCTAATGTGTTTTCTTTTAAAAGAAATGTTCCCAATAGTGTTTACTCCGGCAAAATATGGCCGGTGGCTTGTCTCGAAGACGCCACTGTTTGAAGTTATTCTATGTCCACTGTGTTAAATTTCCAATTTTAATTGGATAAGGGCAGGAGGTTTACGGGTAGAAATGATCAAATCTTTTCTGGACAAATACAACAAAAATTTACAGTTGTATCAAGATTGATCGCCCGTGTCTGTGAAATTCAAGCCGCCATATAAAAAAAAACGGAACTGCATATTTAGAGGTTATAAGTTATATTCAAAGGTTTATCACCGAATGTTGTTGTTGTAATGACATGTTGGACACATGAAGTTAATTAAGGAAAATCAGGACTAAATTTGTTTTCCTTCCATTATTTGAGAATTGTAAACCTTCATTTAAAATATTATCTATTTTTTTATATAAATTTATTATTTGATACAGAAAATAAATAATGAAACAATATAGAATATATTGCATATGAATCATTGAATGGTAAATGTCATGAATTCGGTTAAGAATTGTCTGATAACGAAAATTTAATTATTCGTTCATAAAAATTGGGTAAATATCGATACTATGATCCAATAATCGTCTACAAGAAAAGGAGCAACACAACTTTTGTCTACAGACTGCTTTCTTTATAAATATTATAATTGATACGAAAATACCGAAATTAACCGAATACATGTGTCGTAACGAGTGGATGGTGTATGTAATCCCTGAAGAATGTATCGCCTCCCAGAGCCATACTGTCCATGTTGTATGATTATCTATACAAAAACAGAATGTATGGAAATGAAAGAAAAAAATAACAATAACAGTATTAAGTTCAAGTCTCCACTTTTACAGACATACACGAGTAGCTCCTTATAATTTTGCCTACTGCACCCATTCTTCATCAAAAAGTCATTTTCCCCTCCTTCAATTCCTGACAGAGAGGTCCGTAAGGTGCACTCCATCCGATTATTAGGTCAGAAATTCTTTCGGGCAAAACCGCCAGCATCCGGAAAAACAAATGTGCATCCATTCCGATTAAATACCGGTTGTTCGGATATTTTGCCAACAGCGCATGCGTCATTGCGTCGGCAACTTTCTGAGGATTAGTACTCACATACTTTGCTGTGTTGTAGATTCCACCAATCACTGGAAAAGAAATGTTTTAATTCCAAGCCTGATTGAAAAATATCATTAATGCTGTTCGGTACCACAAACTGTTTAAGTTATAAATTCCAGCAATAAGTCAAATTACAAATTTTGTGTAAGCTTCAAATGGGTTTGGATGAAGTTTCGAATAATTACTGTCACTATAGTTAAAATAGTTTATATTTCGATGCTTAATCATTCCTTTAGTGCACTTCGTCAGTCGGGATCTCGACATTAGCACATACCACTAATTATCATAATTATGTACTATTTTAAGTAAATCATAGAAAGCTCACAGATGTGTATTTTACACATCGTTATTAATCAATTAATTAAAATTTAAAACCCGTGACACTTTGTTGAAGAGTATATTATGGTATTGAAATTCCTATTTCATGCACTTGAAACTATTTTTCCTTGGTCGGGAGTAGTGAGATATTTGGTTTACGCTAAAAAAGTAGTCCTGTATTTGCCACTTTGTTGTTTTTATTGAACTAAATAAATACTTTAGAAACAGCATTCATTGTAATGAGTAATATTCAAGATATAAGAACGTATGATCTTGTCACGGTTCAGAAGTGTTCACTCTTTTTGGGAGATAGCGTGTAAGCGGCAGGATAGCTCAGTCGGTATAGACCCGCCGTACATTATGCCTAGGGTTCGTGTCCCGTCAGTCTGGACAATTTTTATCCTGTGACACTCTGAGATCGTCTTTACATTATAAGATATCTTTTAAACTGAGGAACCTTGAAAATGTGTCTCTTAAAATCAACCATTTTTAAGAAAAATGTATGTTAATTTTGCTCACTAGAGCGCCGCTATTTTGAGGATGTAACTATGTTAATACTTACAGTATCTCGATATGTTACCACCATAACATTTCTGCGCATCCGGTTGCGCTCTCAAATAAGCTTTATATAATATATCAAACAGTCTGTGCTTGTCGGTAATATTTGTTTTAAAGCCTCCAGGTTCGATAGTGTGCGCAGTAACCCCTGTATGCAATAGCTCTCGTCTGCAACATATATATTCAAAATTCATGGCTAAAGTTGTATATGTTCCGTTAAAATATTCGTGAGGACATTGTCAATTAAAAAAAAGGAACAATTTCATTTTATTTAGAAGTTACACTTGGCTCTTGCCCATTTGTAAAAGACATGCAAAGGAACGCAATGGACTGGGGACTTTCTGGGGTGAAAGCGGTTGCTATATTTTGTTCTCGGCCATGTTCAAGGAGTTCAACAGGTAAAGAACAAACGATATTTTTGTAACGGATGGGAACCAAACAAAAAATGTTTCTCCATGGGTATGAAAGAAATGCAAGCTATACCGTAAACAGGACGTGAACATCTTGATGCCAGCTTTGGACACGACGTAATCTGAAATGCCCGGATATCCGCAATTTGACGTCACGCTGCATACATTAACTAATCTGCCTTGCGATTGTCGTAAATATGGAAGAAACGCCAGAGTAACGGAAATTGTTCCAAATAGGTTGACCTTACACGCCCTCTCATACTCTTCTAATGTTGTCCATTCGGCAGGGGCGTAAGATGGCATAATTCCGGCATTATTCACAACACCCCAAATCCCTAAGATGCAAAAGAGAATGTCAGATCAAAGGCACTATATACTTTAAACAGCATGCCTCTAAGTAAGGCCAATTTTCATGAAAAAAATTTAAAATGCATTTAAAGGTGAAATATTGTAAATTGAACGAAGAAATTATAATTTACACATTACAAACGGCACTAACAATCCACGTGAATTACCAAACAGAGGTTAAAATATGCAGAAATAGCCCTTACTGAGTTAGAAATGCAGTATAAATATGGTAACAGATACTGCAAAAATAATTCATTAATCGCATATGACATGTAAAAAATTACTTAAATCTTCAACGTTATTACTTTTCTGAAAATCTTAGTACATTTTTCTCAAACAATTCTTGAACTTATCTCAGCTTTATAGCAGGAATGCAAAAAAGTAAATATGGCAACAATCAAACACTATGTTCTTTAATAATACACCTCAAATAATTTAATTTCATATGAAAAGAGATCAAATGAGTACGGTTGTATTTCAACAAAAATAAAAGTGGCATGTAAATTGTCACAAATCCAGGTTATCCGTAAATATTAAGTATGGGGTGGGGAGGTATCAAAAGATCCATTATTATGTTAAAATATTTGATCTAGTTATAATATTTTGATAACATGATACTAAGGCAATTGATATAAGTTCGGATTAACGTAGGAGTTGCGAATCCGCACGGAGAAAAATCCTGGTTGAAAAGCTCTTACCTATGTCTGGCGTTTGCTCACACGTGAATTCACACGCTTTCTTGACCGATGACTGGTCAGTCACATCAACTATAACAGTTTTTAAGCGGGAAGACGTCTGATTCTTCAGCTCTCGCGCTCCTTTCTCCGTCAAACATCCGGCAACTACCAAAACGCCTTTTGCATCGAGAGTCCGTGCCAGTAGGTTCCCAAAGCCCGTGTCGCATCCAGTAATAAACACACATCTCTTGGACAAGTTTTTAATTTCGAGTTTAGATAGATTGTGAAATATCAAACTTATGATTAAAATAAATACACTCGCCGCAAGAAATACCAAAAGATAAATCATTTTGTCACTGCAGTCTATTATGTCAGCTCTGAGAAGTTTTTTTGTAAATCAAGTGTGACCGTCTCCTTGAAATGTAAAGTTCGTTAAATACCCGTTTTTAGTACCCGTATTTCATCCGATTCTGTTTTGTTAGCTGCTACTAGCACATTTTTATTAGACTTTTTAGACTGCTATTAACACTATTTTCTTCACTATGTTTAAACATCGATTATTCCATTGGCTGTTCACATCTCCAATTCAGCCTTGAATAACGCGATTTAGTTTTCAGTCAATGCTATCACTCAATTCGATACAGTAAAATCTGTCATTGTACCAACCCTATATATATCATCACTGCAATACAATATGTTTACTGTTTTTTGTTTTCGAACAATTTCGAACAGTTTGACGATATACATGAAATCAAAATAGCTGCATTTCGTTTCATACCTTACATAACGGCATCATTATTCAGGAAGGTTGCGTACAAACGGGTTTGCCTGTAAATAAAATTGAAATACCAGACAGTAACAGTAACTGTTATCAAATGAACCAAGTTCATATTTCGTATCTGATAATCGGCAGTCAAAACAAAATGACTTATATCAAATAAGTCTTAAAACTAGTAACTTGTGAACTGTAATCAAATTCACCTTAAATTGCCTTTTCAAATTTTACTGATGTTAATAATAAACGGCAATGTCACATAATTATTTGCACGTGCTTTTTGAGATATATAGAAAACTTAGCAAATTTTACTTCCATTATTGAAATTCGAATTATTAAAATTTTTAATGACAAACGGTTGATAATTTTAAAAAAAATACTAAGGGTGCAATATATAGAGGATATTGAATGAGTGTAAGTTTGATACTGTATTTATTGAACGAGCTGAATAAAATATATAATGCGAGTCTCTGGTGATTATTATATTAATTATATTCAACGAGTTCAATAAATTCAGTAATGAATTTACACGAATTTAATATCCTTTTTATCATATACCAAATATAAAGACCGTTTGAAGTGAAAAATAACGAATCTTCATTGATGCGCCTATAGTTAATGACGAGCACGTATGACGTGCTAAAAATGACGTCACGTCAAAATATATGCAAAATATATGCACGACCGTGCAATTTACGGAGTTGTTAATACGGCACGGGTATGCGCTAAATATTTATATTGCACATTTTTTAACATACCCGCGCAACTTTTGCGACTCCGTAAAATTGTATTTTGCATATATTTTGACTTGACGTCATTTGCGTTATACGAGTATAAACATAGCGTTATGACGCGCTCAATGTTAGCGTTATACTGTAGGCGCGATACTGAAAAATGTTTTTATTTTATTCATTTTTGCAATAAATTCAGTATCGTAAAACTTAAACTGGTTCAATATCATATATACTTTACCAAAATGACCATATTTTTCCAGAAATAATCCAAACTATCTGCGCCAAGTTATCAAATGCTTTATAAAGAAATCATGAAACTCGTAGGAAATCCCTTACAACCATTATCAGCGAAATTAGAAGCAACAAAAATTATGTTATCTTTAAGGGATGAAATAAAAACATCAATTAAATAAACACTTTACCTTGAATAGGTTCCGACCTTTCTTGCTATGGAAATAATAAAGTAAATATTAAATCTTCAATCAAAGGAAACATTTTTCATTCATCTACGCATGCGCATGAAGAGCCAAGACAACCAGTTCCGTTGAAAGGAATGTCCTGTCTTAGGGCTGCATTATTTGTGTAATTGTTTCGATAACCATCTGTCAAGGTAATTATCAATGGTACAAACTACTTGTTGGCATAACATATTTGAGCCGCGTCACGACAAAACCAACATAGTGCGTTTGCGACCAGCATGGATCCAGACCAGCCTGCGCATCCGCGCAGTCTGATCAGGATCCATGCTGTTCGCTATCAGTTTCTCTACTTGTAATAGAGTTGGTAAGCGAACAGCATGGATCCTGATCAGACTGCGCGGATGCGCAGGCTGGTCTGGATCCATGCTGGTCGCAAACGCACTATGTTGATTTTGTCGTGACGCGGCTCATTTATTTTAGTAATTTTTGTACTGTGATATGACTTTACAAGAACAATGGCAATTCCGAGGAGACTAAAAGCCTATATATAAAAACAAAAAAATGTATTTCTTACAGGGATCAACTGGGGCACTTAAAGCACAAAGTTATGTAAAAGGCAATTAAGAAATATACTTAGAAATAAATTGAAAATCATATTTTTGTGCTGTTCTTAGCCCGATATTAGTGCAAAGCGTTGCAACGCTTTTTCAAGTTTGGGTCATTTCTCACAAATAGAATAATTATTCTGGCAAAAACTGAGAAAGTGAATGGTGTGAAATTTTGCACACAAGTTATAGTTCTACACCTACGAGTACATCAAAAGATTCATTTATCGCGAAAGATTATTTCAAGTCCCGTCATGTCTACAAAATTCAGAGCAGTCCCTTTAATTTACATTTTAGTTATCATGCCACATTTTATATCTTCAAATGACGAGTTCATATTTGCCGCAGAATAGCTATATTACGCAAAATTATATAAGAAAAAAGGGTCAAGTTTATTTTTGACACAGTATTTTTTATGTTCCGATATACTTTCTATCATATTACTCCTTATCGCTCGGAAATGAAGCTTTTGTGTATATAAATTGTAACAAATTTTCAAATTAAGAAAAACATTGCAATTTTAAAGGCCCATGAAGTCTGAAAAATGCTATTATCTTTATTTTACTTTTTATTTTTTTGGTTTTCTATTACTTCGTTTCCTAAAAGTTACACATTGGCAATATAGCTGGGTAATTTTTTGCTTCCGTTGCAATCTGGCAATACATACAATTATAATGATTCTGTATTTTGTGTGGAAGTCAAAATAAAACTTTGTTTTCATTTTCCAAATCACAAAAATAGTTCACGTGAAGTGCTATTTCATTCAGGTGACAAACATCTCACATATTCTAAATTTGAAATTTAAAAAAAAAATGGTATTAGGCTTACATAATATGATTTTATTTAACTCGTTCAATAAATTCAGAATTGAACTAACACTCATTCAATATCCTCTATTTATGTCTTCTTTTGAATACCGAGGATCGCCGCTTTACGTACACTTTCAAACTTTAATAAACCTGAAGATTAAAAGGTAAACACTGGTAGTATTTTGACATCCATTAAAAAGAACAACAATATTACACCAAGTATTAATAGGAAAAGTACTAGTAATGTATGCCTCTATTCTATTGAACCAAGTCAAATAAGATCAACTACAGTGTCAACTATTGTATTACATTTCTTTAACGACAGCAGATGTCTTTTCTGAGACATTATGGGGCTTTAATGTTCCTGATTTCTTTAAAATATTTCATTTATTTGTCCTTGTACACCGAGTCGCACTGTAAATCAAACAAAATTAAATATTTGATTCCTTTGCCCTTTATACACCGAGTCGCGCTGTAAATCAAACGAAGTTAAATATTTGATTCCTTTGCCCTTCATACACCGGGTCGCACTGTAAATCAAACAAGGTTAAATATTTGATTCCTTTGCCCTTTATACACCGAGTCGCGCTGTAAATCAAACGAGGTTAAATATTTGATTACTTTGCCCTTTATACACCGGGTCGCACTGTAAATCAAACGAGGTTAAATATTTGATTCCTTTGCCCTTTATACATCGGGTCGCACTGTAAATTAAACAAGGTTAAATATTTGATTCCTTTGCCCTTTATACATCGGGTCGCACTGTAAATCAAACAAGGTTAAATATTTGATTACTCTGCCCTTTATACATCGGGTCGCACTGTAAATCAAACAAGGTTAAAAATATCATAACTCTGCCCTTTAAACACCCGGGTAGCACTGTAAATCAAACAAGATTAAATATTTGATTACTTTGCCCCCATACACCCGGGTCGCACTTGTAAATCAAACAAGGTAAAATATTTTATTACTTTACCCTTTATACACCGAGTCGCGCTGTAAATCAAACGAAGTTAAATATTTGATTCCTTTGCCCTTCATACACCGGGTCGCACTGTAAATCAGACAAGGTTAAATATTTGATTCCTCTGCCCTTTATACACCAGATAGCACTGTAAATTAAACAAGGTTAAATATCTGATTACTTTGCCCTTTCTACACTGGGTCGCACTGTAAATAAAACAAGGTGAAATATTTGATTCCTTTGCCCCCATACACCCGGGTCGCACTGTAAATCAGACAAGGTAAAATATTTTATTACTTTACCCTTTATACACCGAGTTGCGCTGTAAATCAAACGAAGTTAAATATTTGTTTCATTTGCCCTTCATACACCGGGTTGCACTGTAAATCAGACAAGGTCAAATATTTGATTACTTGCCCTTTATACACCGGGTAGCACTGTAAATCAAACGAAGTTAAATATTTGATTGCTTTGCCCTTTATACATCGGGTCGCACTGTAAATCACACACGGTTAAATATTTGATTCCTTTGCCCTTCATCCACCGAGTCGCACTGAAAATCAAACAAGGTTAAATATTTGATTACTTTGCCCTTTATACACCGGATCGCACTGTAAATCAAACGAAGTTAAATATTTGATTACGTTGCCCTTTATACACCGGGTCGCACTGTAATTCAAACGAAGTTAAATATTTGATTACTTTGCCCTTTATACACCGAGTCGCACTGTAAATCAAACGAAGTTAAATATTTGATTACTTTGCCCTTTATACACCGGATCGCGCTGTAAATCAAAAACGGTATATATACATACAAAACTGTATAAAGTTTTGTCGTTTGTGACCGATAAAAAGGTTGCCAGAAATTATTATCTTAGTGGGTACAGGTTAAACACCTTAATATGATTAAGTTATCATTTGATAATTGTTATCTTTTGATTTTAATCTACATATTTTATTCAGCTTGTCGTTTTTTGCATTTACACCAGTTTTACAACGTCTCACAACGACAACCCGACCAACATCCCGAATTCTCCTCGATGTAACCTAAGATAATAGAGTCACTACGGAATGCCGTTAGGGCCATCGCCTATGAATGTATTGATCTAAAACGCGATAGTCGATAGTACGATGGTGAAAACGCGAAATCACGAAACTACGATGGTGAAAACGCGAAAGCACGATGATGAAAACGCGATAGTACGATAATGAAATCGCGACAATACAATACTACGATGATGAAAACGCGATAAACTATCGTGTTTTCACCATCGTACTGTCGCGTTTTCACCATCGTAGTTTCGTGATTTCGCGTTTTCATCATCGTACTGTCGAGTATCGCGTTTCAGATCAAACCATTCATAGGCGATGGCCCTAACGGCATTCCGGAATGCCGTTAGGGCCATCGCCTATGAATGTGTTAATCTGAAACGCGATAGTCGATAGTACGATGGTGAAAACACGAAATCACGAAACTACGATGGTGAAAACGCGATAGTACGATGATGATAACGCGATAGTACGATGATGAAATCACGACAGTACGATGGTGAAAACGCGATAGTACGATGATGAAAACACGACAGTACGATGATGAAAACGCGATAGTACGATGGTGAAAACGCGATAGTACGATGATGAAAACACGTCAGTACGATGATGAAAACGCGAAATCACGAAACTACGATGGTGAAAACGCGACAGTACGATGGTGAAAACACGATAG